GAGTCTGACCACCAGATGTCGCTAATGCGCACTGTGTTAAAAAGCTTCGAGTAATGAACCGTTTTTTCAGCACAATTTGATAAAAGCCTCAACCGGTTCAGAAAGCCTCGGTTTCCCATCACTAGAAACTGACAGACATCAAACACACTGCACGAACGAGAACCAAACGCAAACACAGAGAGCTATATAAGGGAGCTGATGAGCCACAGCTGGTGCTAGTTAGCTCATCAACAGCCGTACACACAACAACCAGAAGAGGCCAATGAAACTGTGAACCGTGACAGTCCTATGACAATGAATGACATTTGAGACAAAAATATTTTTAACCCAACACACTCGAAGTCATTAACTGAATTTAAAAAAATTCACATTTAATTCCATCTTTAACATACTGTATATAAGCACTCCTCCTCCCCTTCCCAAAGTTCTGTCACGTCTAAAGCATTGATAACCAGACATCATAAAAACAATTGTAGAAGATGACTGTTCTAACCATGTTTCGGGTATACAATGAAAGTCCAGATTCCAGATTTTAATTGGATGATAAATGAGACGAAAGATGTTCACTCTTTGAAACAATGCTTCTGATGTTGAAATGTACACCAAAAAAAGTCCTCTCAGTTTCACTTTTGGGTTCCAAAGAACCTTCGCATGGTTAACAGCTTGAAAACTTCTACATAGTCTGCTTTTTTTGTAGAGAATTGAATGTTTTGAATGTGAAGTGCTTTTGATCTTGTTGTGGAAATATGAAGATTTGGCAGTATGAACTTCAACAGAGAAAGAGGAAAGCAAAAACTGATACAAACTAAGGTCCAACAGATATTTTGGTGTGAGAGAAAGAGCAGCAGGAGTTGCTGAGTCTTCTGGACGTATCCAGGTCTCAGTCAAGCCCAAGATGCTAAGAGTAGACTGATAAGCAATGTCCAGAATTAAGTTTTGTAGCTTTGTTGACTGCTGACTGACAATTCCAGAGGCCCACAGAAAAAGAGAGAGGTGCAGAAGTAGAGGTCCAGATAGGACGCAGGTATTGCCGTCTGCGTTTGATGTTAGAGTGTCGTTGGGAGACAACAGGAATGCATTGGAAACACATGATAGATGTGGGAAAGAGAGATTATAAGGACAGTGTGTGGAAAGGAAAATAAAATATACTTAAGCTTTCGCTTACACAGCTTTTTGACTCTTGAGTGAATACAGCCGTGGAGTCCTTGACAATTAGCACACCAAAAGCCTATAGCAGGCGAATGGCTCAAATCAGATCTACTGCGGGACAGTTCGTCACTTAAGTGCAGTAAACGAGCAATACAAATACCTAAAGCTCCTTCTTAGCCAATGGCTATTATTCTAAGTGCAAATAAGTGCAATCAAAATACAAATTATAATGAAAGAAAAATAGAAATGAATGGTAAACAATATAATTCTTCCTAGCAGCAAATAAAAATCCAAACAGATATAGAAAAGAGGTATTTATGCGGTACCTTCTTCTCTGCTGACTAAAAGTCCAGTTCTCACTATTAAGTAGCTGCTTATTAGCATGCATATTACTAACATATTGGCTGTTTAATAGTACTTAGAATGCACATATTAATGTCCATATTTTAGATCCCTTAATCCTAAACTTTGTAACTACCTTACTAACTATTAATAAGCAGCAAATTAAAAGTTTACTGGGGCAAAAATCATAGTTAATAGTGATATTTGGATCTTAAAATACAATGTAATGATTAATATTAAGTTTTAAGTCACATGCCACTTAATGTCAGTGTTAGAGTGTCATATAACTCCTTCCTATATTGTGGGGAACCAGTCAAGGTATTTCACCTTGACAGTAAAGAAAAATCATGGGATACTGCTGAAGTCCACAAATCCTGATTACACTGAAATAAGGCTTTCCACTTGGGGAGGGGACAGGGAGTTGTCATCTTGCCTGCTGTCCACTACAGTTTTTATCATACATGTGTTGTATTTTTTGTAATGGAAGTACAGACCAGGTTAGAATATACATACAGGTTTTATTATGAATTTATGAAAAATATGATCACTTAGTCTATGCTGTCTTTTTCTCTCTTTCTTAACGGCTCAACTGCAGATGACAGTATTGATTACACAGACACCAGCCACAGACTGAAGAACAAATTAAATAACGACTACAACCGGATATTGGTCGGAAATTCTCACACGGGTCACCGGGAATACCTGAACGATATTTACACTGATTTATATGTGGTGGAGAATGAGACTGGAGGAAGAGTGAACGATCACGAGGTGATACAGATCCAATCAAATCACAGCCGATTGACTGCCAAGGAGATGCCAATCAAGTGCAAAGACATGTTTAAAGTCCAGTCTGACACGGGTCGACAAAACAGAAAAGTGCTGACAATGGGGATCACAGGAGGGGGAAAAACGTTCTCTGTTAATAAATTCATCCTTGACTGGGCTGAAGGAAAAGAAAATCGTGATATAGTCTTCATATTTCCACTTCCATTCCGTAGACTGAATTTGATTAAAAAAGAGTACAGTCTCATAGGACTGCTTAACAAATACTTCTTTAACAGTCCTGAAGAACTGACCTCTCTTCCTGACGATGATGGTAAGGTCATGTTCATCTTTGATGGGCTGGATGAATGTCGCTTCCCTTTGATCTTTCAAGAGGATGACAGCTTTACAGATATTTATGAAAAAACAGCAGTGAGTAACATAATAACAAACCTGATCAAGAGACATCTGGTTCCCTCTGCTCGCATCTGGATCACATCCAGACCAGCAGCAGCCAGTCTGATACCCCGAGACTACATCGATCAGGTGACCGAGGTGCAAGGATTCAACAATGAGGAGAAAGAGGAATTCTTCAACAAAAACAGTCCTGAGCTTGCTGGAAACATCATTCATCACATCAGGAAATCCAGGAGTCTGTACATCATGTGCCACATCCCCATCTTCTGCTGGATCTCTCTCACTGTTCTTGAGCCTCTACTGGCTCGAAAGAGCAATGACAGAATACCCACAACTCTGACAGGCATGTACACAAACTTCTTACTTACTCAGCAACAACAGATGGAAAAAAAATACAGTGATAATTCTTTTGAAGAGATTATTCTGAAGCTTGGGAAACTGGCCTTTCAACAGCTGGAGAAAGGAAATCTGATTTTCTACAGAGAAGATCTTGAGGAGTGTGGACTGGATGTAAGTGAAGCATCAGTGTACTCTGGGTTATGCACTCAGATGTTTCAGGAGGAAAAGGTTCCTACAAGAAACGTTTACAGCTTTGTACATCTCAGCATCCAGGAATTCCTTGCTGCTCTCTATGTGTTTTTGATTAACAAAGACAAGAAAGCCAATCCATTTCTTGAATCCTGGAAAAAGAAACTGTCATGGAAAGTGTCCAAAAAGACACTGTTTAAACTTCATAAGGCTGCAGTTAAGAAGGCTTTACAAAGTGAGAACGGACACTTGGACCTTTTCCTCCGGTTCCTCCTGGGTCTCTCACTGGAGTCCAATCAGAGTTACCTGAAGGAGATAGTACCAGGACTGAAGCTCAAAGCAGAGAGTGTCAAAGACACCGCTGACTATATCAAAAAGACTATAGAGAAGGAGGAATCAGTAGAGAGGACCATCAATCTCTTCCACTGTTTGAGTGAACTGAAAGATGACTTTGTGGAGGAAATACAGAAGAATCTGCTCTCAGGAAATCTTTCAGCTCAGAATCTCTCCTCTGCTCAGTGGTCGGCTCTGGTGTTTGTGCTCCAGATGTCGGAAGAGACTCAAGAGAAGTTTGAACTGCAGAAATACAGAAGATCTGATGACGCACCGATGAGACTGCTGCCAGTGATCAAAAACACCAGAAGAGCACTGTAAGTGTCTTCTTTACATTCATTTATATACACTATTAGTCATTTTAATTGGGTCTCCATTTTATACAGGTAGCTTGTTTGCCAAGAACAATTAATAAATGTAAATGTATCATTGTGTGTGATGACATTTAATGCCATTGTATCTCCACCATCAGGTAAGTTGAATTCAGGTTTTAGACACTTTATTATTCTTGATAGTATCATACATTGAAAATATTGGTTTGATGTTTTATAAAGCGTTAAATTATTGTAACAAATTTAAAATAGAGACTAAAGGAAGCTTTAATTTGACTTTCATTCTCTTTTAAACTGGACATCGGATGCCCATTTTCCACAGGTTGGTATGATTCTTTAGTATCTTCATGACATGTCTACAACATACTTTGGTTAAAATTCCTCAATGGACGTGCAAAACAACAGCCTTTTTACCTCGTCAAAAACAGCTCTGTTCACAGCGACCCGTTTCAGTGCATGTCTCTTTAAATGCTAATGAGCTCCGCTCACCCCGCCCCTCTCTTCCGTGGAAGAGGAAAGACGATTTGCAAATGGTCATAAAAAAGATATAAAGTGTGAGACTTACTTCTTTTGGAGGTGCAGCTGGATCACGAACAGTGGGTACTGATCCATCCTTGAGTTTTTACTTTTTAGGTCATGGGCAGGGCCTGAGCATTATGACGTCATAAATCAAAACAGCTCGATTATTGAGACTGTTTAGGTTTTTTGAGGATTAAAAAAAAGGTGTGAATGGATTTTTATCATTGTAGGGTGGTTGTGTCCACACTCTGCTAAGACACATTATATGCAAACAGCATGTAAAAGTGAATTTTGCATCCGATGTCCCCTTTAAATTCTGTAATCACTGAGTACATCTGATGGTTTTACCTTTGCTGTAACTACAAAGGTTTTCCAAGTCATCTGTGCTCCAGATTATAAACCCTATCTGATAAACACATTAATAGGATTGTTTGTTTTGTTCTCCACACAGGCTATGTGGGTGTAATCTCAATGCTCAGTCTTGTGAGAGTTTGTCTTCAGCTCTACAATCTTCAAACTCTGTCCTGAGAGAGCTGGACCTGAGTAACAATGACCTGCAGGATTCAGGAGTGAAGCTGCTCTCTGATGGACTGAAGAGTCCAAACTGTCAGCTGCACATACTGAGGTTTGAGTTAAAAAACTTTCATTTAATTTTTCTTGCATTAATTGTTAAAGATCACACTTCTTAGATTTATTCCATATGCAATTACATTGTGTTTTTTCTTTTTCAGACTTGAGAGAGCTGGATCTGAGTAACAATGACCTGCAGGATTCAGGAGTGAAGCTGCTCTCTGATGGACTGAAGAGTCCAAACTGTCAGCTGCACATACTGAGGTTTGAGTTAAAAAACTTTCATTTAATTTTTCTTGCATTAATTGTTAAAGATCACACTTCTTAGATTTATTCCATATGCAATTACATTGTGTTTTTTCTTTTTCAGACTTTCCATATGTAATCTCACTGCTCAGTCTTGTGAGAGTTTGTCTTCAGCTGTCATTACAGGCTAAACAATACTCAGCGGAGAATGGTTGTTTGAGTGGGTGTTATATAGTGAGTGAGTGATATGAAACAGCTGTGTGCAATCAGTGCAGTGTGTAATCCTTGGCAGACACAAAGCACACAAAGAATTCACAACCGGCCTCCATAGCTGTGACAGGACAGGATGAGGATTCCCCTGTTCCGAGTCTCTGTGTTTCCTTGCCTTGCCTTCTTGTTTTTTGACCTTGGACTGTTTATTGGAATGCTCTTTTGTCTCACCCTGGATTGTACCTGTTTGCTGGTGTTTGACCCTGCCTGTTTTGACCACTCTTGTGAATAAAAGCTGCATTTGGATCCTCAACTCCGTTGTCACGCCTCCCACGTTACATCAGCTCTACAATCCTCAAACTCTGTCCTGAGAGAGCTGGACCTGAGTAACAATGACCTGCAGGATTCAGGAGTGAAGCTGCTCTCTGATGGACTGAAGAGTCCAAACTGTCAGCTGCACATACTGAGGTTTGAGTTAAAAAACTTTCATTTAATTTTTCTTGCATTAATTGTTAAAGATCACACTTCTTAGATTTATTCCATATGCAATTACATTGTGTTTTTTCTTTTTCAGACTTTTCATATGTAATCTCACTGCTCAGTCTTGTGAGAGTTTGTCTTCAGCTCTACAATCCTCAAACTCTGTCCTGAGAGAGCTGGACCTGAGTAACAATGACCTGCAGGATTCAGGAGTGAAGCTGCTCTCTGATGGACTGAAGAGTCCAAACTGTCAGCTGGAGATTCTGAGGTAAATGCTTTATCACAAAAAAATGACCAAATGACATTTTGTCCAAGACAAACATTTGCAGGCATGTTTTCTGTAGTTATACAGATGTCTGTATTTTCTTCCCTGAGAAGTTTGACTCATGTGAACTGTGTAAATCATCTGAGATTTTTTCTAGTGGCTGTGTGTGCACAAGACAAGACACCCTTGGCATCTCAGACAGGGTCCATAATTAAAGGTGCCATATGTAATCTAGCAGTTGAAATGGGTACTGCATTCCAAATTCAAAATATTGGAGAGAATTGTTTCCCCCACCCCCTCCTCCTTAGACTTGTATGGTTGAAAATAGATTTTTCCTTTCCTGTCCCAAACCTATCTTCTATAACAAAACACTGCTCTGGGTGTGTGTCCACTGTGTGTGTTAATTCACTACTCACTGCTGTGTGTGTGTGTGTGTGTGTGTGTGTGTGTGTGCGCGCAATGTAGCGAATCAGCTCAAAGGGGAAATATGAATAATTAATCATAACTAGTTATAATTAATTATAAATATTTAGATCCGCTGTAAGTATTTACTTGACCTCTCAGGGTCAACTGTCTGTCAATTCTAAGAACGTTAATTTCCTGGTTAAGGGAAATAACTTTCTTACTGTACAATAC